TGGGCGCTGTCCCTCAGCTCTTCAGCTCAAGGCTAGCACTCTACCACTTGAGCCACAGCGCCACTTCTGGCTTTTTTCTTTTTGCTTAATGTGGTACTGAGGAATCAAACCCAGGGCCTCATGCATGCAAGGCAAGAGCTCTACCACTGAGCCACCTTCCTAGCCCCGCACCACATTTTCTTGATGTCATCCTTTGTAGGGCATCTGGGCTGTTTCCATACTTGGCCATTGTGAATAGTGCAGCAGTGAACATGGGTGTGAAAGTGTCTTTACCATGTCCTGATGTACTTCATCTTCTCAAGGGCCCCTGGCAGCACAGAAATGACTCTAGAGCTTTAGTACTATGGGTCACTCTGACCATGAGCTCTAGTACTAAGGGACACTCTGACCATGAGCTCTAGTACTAAGGGACACTCTGACCATGAGCTCTAGTACTAAGGGACACTCTGACCATGAGCTCTAGTACTAAGGGACACTCTGACCATGAGCTCTAGTACTAAAGGACACTCTGACCATGAGCTCTAGTACTAAGGGACACTCTGACCATGAGCTCTAGTACTAAGGGAGACTCTGATCATGAGCTCTAGTACTAAGGGACACTCTGATCATGAGCTCTAGTACTAAGGGACACTCTGACCATGAGCTCTAGTACTAAGGGACACTATGATCATGAGCTCCAGTACTAAGGGTCACTATGATCATGAGCTCCAGTACTAAGGGACACTCTGATCATGAGCTCTAGTACTAAGGGACACTATGATCATGAGCTCCAGTACTAAGGGTCACTATGATCATGAGCTCCAGTACTAAGGGACACTCTGATCATGAGCTCTAGTACTAAGGGACACTCTGACCATGAGCTCTAGTACTAAGGGACACTCTGATCATGAGCTCTAGTACTAAGGGACACTCTGATCATGAGCTCTAGTACTAAGGGACACTCTGATCATGAGCTCCAGTACTAAGGGACACTCTGATCATGAGCTCTAGTACTAAGGGACACTATGATCATGAGCTCCAGTACTAAGGGTGACTATGATCATGAGCTCCAGTACTAAGGGTCACTATGATCATGAGCTCCAGTACTAAGGGACACTCTGACTACAGCTTTCATAGTAAGGAACACCTGGCTGTGTTTCACTTTAGGAGGACTGATGTTCCAAAGTGAGTCTTGTTGTTGTGTGTTGTTGTTTTGCCAGTCCTGGGGCTTGAACTCGGGACCTGAGCACTGTCCCAGAGCTTCTTTTGCTAAGGCTAGCAGCATTTGTGGCTTTTTCTGTGTATGTGGTACTGAGGAATCAAACTCAGGGCTTCATGCATGCAAGGCAAGCACTCCAGCACTAAGCCACGTTCCCAGCCCCATTGTTTGTGACAAGATCTGCTATGTTGCCCAGGCTGGCCACAGCTTCTGAAATCACATGATCCTCCTGCTTTAGCCTCCCAAGTTGCTGGTACCACAGATGCTCACCACTGCCACTGGCTCTTCAGATGAAGTGAGGGGCTAGAGCTGTGGTTCTAGTGGTAGAATACCAGCCTAGCAAGCAGGGGAGTTCTGAGTTTAAGCCCAGTATTTCCTCCCTTCTTCCACATGTTCCCCCCGCCCCCCAGCCAGCTTAATATCTCTTTGGAGTTGTTGTTTTGGTAGTGGTGGTGGTGGAGGTGGTGGTGTGTGTGTGTATGTGTGTCAGTGTGTTAGTATGTCAGTTATGGAGCTTGAACTCGGCATGAGCACTGCCCCTTTCTTTATTGCTCAAGGTTAGCTCTCTACCACTTTGAATGATAGCTCCACTTCTGGTTTTTAGGTGGTTAATTGGAAATAATAGCCTCAGAGACTTTCCTGCCCTGACTGACTTAGAACTGTGATTCTCAGATCTCAGCCTCCTCAAGTATTACAGGGGTGAGCTGCCAGCACCTGGCTTTCATGGTCTGTTTTAACTGCTGGTTCTAGATTGGGCAGGCACATCTGGAGTTCACTGTGACAAAGCCCACTGAGACTGTCCACAGTCCATGTGAGTAGGAGAGTGGGGCCAGGCTGGCTAGGCAGGCTGTACCAAGCTGTGTCCTGGAGAACTGGACCCAGGGAGCAGCTGTAAGGCAGAGATCAGAATGGACACCCTGAAGAGCTATGGGGAAGTGCAGACCTGTAGACTGCCTGGAGGTGGAGCCCTGCTTCTTTGTGAGAAGGTTGTGCTCGTGTTCAAGTGAGCTCTGAGGAGGGATAGGGTCACTGAGTTTTCTACCAGAGACACTGGTGAGCTGTAGACTAGGTAGCTTCTGCAGCTATCCAAGGGCCTTATGGAGGCAAAGGTCATGTTCCTTGCTCAGGACCAGGAGTCTGCTAAGTCTGAGTTCACCGCCCTTGGTTACTTTGCTGTCCATTTTGATCGTAACCTGGATGACAGAACTCCTGACATCATAGGTATTTAGTCTAAGGCTGCAGTTGCAGTTCATTTGGCAGATCTTTTGGTCTTCTTTGGATTTAAATTCTTGTGGTGAGCTCTGAGCAGGGAGTTTAAACAGGGCCTGTCCGTGTACTCCCAGAGCTGGGCTGGTTCAGGACGCATGCCTGATAGAGTTGATTGCATCTGTGCTGAGCCTGGCTGATGCCAGCTGGAGCTGGAAAGTATACTGGTACACGACACGTGTCTTAGAGTTTGTAAGTTGTCACTCTTCACTTTCCTTTTTTCTGCTGTAACTGGGGTTTGAACTTGGTTGGTACCCTACCATTTGAGCCCTACCTCCAGCCATGCTTTTTGCTGGTATGAGCCACCGCCTGATTTGACTTAACTTCACTTTGTTCATTTTCACATGTGGGCTGCCCAGTGCTAGGGTTTCCACAGCCCCTTTTGACCACCCTCTGTTCTGTCTCCTCGCAGTCCTCCTGGCCACAGAGAAGAGCCCTACCTCACAGAGGCAGGCAGGGACGCCTTCGACAGGCTCTGCAGACTCCGCCAAGGGGAGCTGCAGGTGCTCAGTGGGGGCCTTCTTCAGGCCCCCAGGCCTGTGCTAGTGAAGGAGAGCGAGCTGGTAAAGGATTCACTGAACGTCCTTCTGGGAGTTGTTTCTGCCACATTTTCCCTCTGCCAGGTGAGAAGCACTTGCTGGCTGACACAGGACCAGCCAGAGCACATGGAGGAGGGGGCCATGTAGGATGAGATGCAGTGAAGTGAGCAGGTTGAGCCAGGAAGATCACAGATCACATGAGTTCAAGGCCAACCTGGACTACATATAGAAACCCTGTCTTGAACAACAAAACAAACAGTTATCTTGGCACCCACAGCCAACTCAGGCCTTTGTGGTGGAGCGGGGCGTCCACGTGGCAGGCACCTCACCCGAGAGCATCTGTAGCATCCTGTCCCAGGTAGCTGAGTACGGGACCCACTACATGCGCCTGAGCCACTTTTCTCTGCAGCCTGTCCAGGGCTCCATGTGCAGCAGAGGCCTCGTGTTCCAGGTACGTACGTCTTCATGGGAACTGGGAAAAGAGAACCTCAGAGGTCTTGTTCTAGAATTCCAGGCCCAAATCTCAGGAGTAGGGTGAATGGCAGTTAACTTTGGTATTGTTTGGTTTGGTTGGGTTCTTTCTCCAATCAAAATGAGGGTCTGTTTGTGGAAGGAGAGTCATAGGAGGAAATAGCAGTGCGTCCATCTGGAGAGGGGGCTGCAGAGGAGTCCCTGAGTCACGTATCTCACCATCACTCCACTGGACTCTGGGTCAAGGGCGTAAGGAGACAGGTGTGCCAGTGCTGGAAGGAAGGAACTTACTGGGAGGCAAAGCCACTTACTTTCCCTGGGCTCCTGGGCTCTGTCAGCTCCCAGCAGTGGGCTTCTGTCCTGACTAGTCCGTCTTCCAAGTACCCTGGGTTCTGAGCCAGGCCTCTAGGGACTCCTGTTTAGTTGCAGGGTCTGCAGCTTGTTTATATGCTGGTGGAATTCTATGGGTTTTGGGGTGTAGCCAGGGAGTAGTGAACATGAGGAGCCAGTCTGCACGGTCCCCTTCCAGCTCTGAAGTGTGGCAGGGTTGTGGGGTGGTAGTGACAGACGGGTCAGGATTTAGACTCACAGGCTAGGGTGAGGCAGGGGCTGTGATGGAGACCTTTCACGTGAGTGGAAGCTCCAAGGGGACCAGGCTGGTGGCCATAAAGAATGAGCAGGGGAGGCTGGGAAGGTGGCTCAGTGGTAGAGTGCTTGCCTTGCACGCATGAGACCCTGGGTTTGATTCCTCAGCACCACATAAGCAGAAAAAGCTGGAAGTGACGCAGTGGCTCAAGTGGTAGAGCACTAACCTTGAGCTGAAGAGCTCAGGGACAGTGCCTAGGCCCAGCGTTCAAGCCCCATGACCACCATGACCAACAACAAAAAATGAGCAAGGGGTCTTAGGGACAGGGGCTGTGTTCCTTCCTGGTCACTTGGCACATGCCACATAACAGGAGAGGCGAGTCTGGAGTGGGCAGACCACGGTTTGTCACAAGTGACCCTGTCTGTGAGATGTGAAGTACTGTGCTGCTATACATGGAATGAGGTCCTGCAGAGCCAGGACAGGGGCAGGAACCGTGGTTCTTGTCTGCTGCTTGGGCTTAACCCACAGGTGCCCACTGCTTGCAGAATGGGGCTGTCAGTCTCTGCGGCATGGGAGCACTGCTGTCCTCTGGGTTGGCTAAGCCCTTGCAGGGCTCCTGCTGCCCTCCTCCTGCCTGTCTGCCTCTTGTCCGCAGGCCTTCACCAGTGGCTTGAGACGGTACCTGCAGTATTACCGGGCCTGCGTCCTCTCCACGCCACCTACCTTGAGCCTCCTCAGCATCGGCTTTCTCTTCAAGAAACTAGGCAGGCAGCTCAGGTGAGCCCTGACACGAGGCTTTGAGGAGTCTGAAGGTAGTGAAGATCCAGCTCTGTTTCCTGGCAGGAAGGACCCAGAAGGAGCCCTTGGGGCATCTGGGCAGCCCTTGGGAAATTGGTCTCCAAGTGCTGGATGCCATGTGGTGTGTCTGCCGTTTGCCCACATCAGTGGCCCCAGAGACAGGGCACTCTTGTGGCCTCCGGCAGGCATACAGGAGGTGGATGGGGAGAAGCGTGCAGCAGGAGCTGTGTGGGGAGCTGTAGACAGTGCCAGGCACAGCGGGTCTGTGAGAGTGGGGATTGCGGAGCAGAGTGCAGCGGGGTGGAAAGGGTCAGGCTCACGAGGGAGTGCGGTCATCCAGACCAGAGAGGGTGGCCATGCCAACCAAGTGGCAAAGGATTTCAGGTGGAGCCACAGACTTGGCTCGAGTGGTGAGGGGGCCGGGTGTCGTGTGGGGGATGGCACGGGCGCTGTACCGTTGTGGGATCTGGCAGGAAGTTCAGATCTAGTTTGATGGGTACAGGTGGTATTTATTTTTTGTGTGTGCTGGTACTGGGGCTTGAACTATGGGCCTCTTAACTCCACTTCTTGCTCATGGCTGGCACTCTACCATGTGAGCTGCTCCTTTGCTTCCACTAGTCCCTTAAGGGAGCATAAAGATTTCCCTTGTCTGGTCCGATCCTGGCTGGAGCCTGGTCTGATCAGCCTCTGTGTCTAGGTACCTAGCTGAGTTGTGTGGTGTTGGCACTGCCCTCCCGGGGACCACTGGAGGGGAGACCAGGGCTGCGTTCCCCACTGTGAGTCGTCTAGCTTTGTGGTGGCCCCTGACTGTGTGGGGGAACGGGTGGGGCTGAGCATGGCTCCAGGCCTGCTGCTCAGCTTGGTGGAGTGTGGAGCACATGAGTGCTGTGCACGAATCCCTCTCCCATCTGTCTGTCCGCAGGGAGTGAAGTTGCTGTCCTACCTCTACCAGGAAGCACTGGACAACTGCAGCAATGAGCACTACCCAGTGCTGCTAGCCCTGCTGAAGACCAGCTGCGCCCCCTACACACAGTGAGTGGCACTGCAGGCCAGCCTGAGCTCCTACACACCGTGGGAGAGGAGGGAGGATCCTCAAACCTGGCACTGGCCTGGATATATGGACACTTGATGGCGTGCATTCCCCTGCCCTACTCACCGGTGTCTGGCTGTGGTGCCTGTCTGTTCCTACCCACTGCCCACCCACTTGCGGTTAGTCATGCCTACTCTGAGCTTCTCACCACATTGCTCACCTTGTCTGTGGCAGGTTCATCCATGACTGGGTGTACAGTGGGGTTTTCAGAGATGTTTGTGGGGAGTTCATGATCCAGGTGAACCACGAGTACCTGGGCTGCAGAGGTAGGTTGCAGCAGGTTGCCTGTGCTGGGTCTCTGCACCCATAGACCTGAGGTCAGGCTCATAGAGCCACAGGTCATCAGTGTTGTCTCACATTAGACAAATTCTACTGGACCCATGGCTACGTGCTCATTTCCAAAGAGGCAGAGGACTGTGTCCCCGTGTTTCTGAAGCACATTGCTCACGACGTGTACATCTGCGGGAAGACCATCAACCTGCTGAAGCTCTGCTGTCCCCGGGTGAGGTTTCCCAGCCACACAGGTGCCTCAGGGAAGGGCTGTGGGAGGCCAGCGCTGTCCAGGGATGGCCTCTGATGGGTCAGTACTAGTGTATCTGTAGCCATGCCTCCTCTGCATGGGAGACAGGCAATTTCACCGGATCTTCACTCCCTTTGGGAGGGCCATCTGTGGGAGTCTGCTGGCCTTTAGCACATACACACACACACACACGCACACACGCACACACACACACACACACGCACGCACACGGTGTCCTTGGATGGGTATGCATGGTGGGGCCTGCCTGTAGTGTCCCAAGTGGGAGACTTGCTCTTTGGAGCCACTGGAGGAGTCGCTGCTTGTAGGTTTAGCAGTGAATTTCCTGAGGAAATAGTGTGACTGTCAGTGGGCATTGCTAAAACACAGCAGTGCCCAGTCTTGTTCCTCTTGTCTCTGGCCCTCTGCTCACCGCAGCTCTCTCTCTTTGGCAGCACTACCTCTGTTGGTCTGATGTCCCTGTACCTCGCATCTCGGTGATTTTCTCCCTCAAGGAGTTGAAGGAGATTGAGAAGGACTGTGCTGTCTATGTTGGTCGAATGGAGAGGGTGGCCCGTTACAACTCTATCAGCAAGGAGGAGAAGGTGCTTGGCTGTGGGGCTCAGAACTTCCTTTGCTGCCTCCTGGTCCCAGGCTGGTGGCTGGGTGTGGGATGTGGGACATGGAACATGGTGGTCCTAGTGGTGGGTCTTGGTGGGGCCACTAGTGGTGCTTGGCTGTGTGTCAAGCAAGGTCAGAGTGAGTCTGGTGCCCGGGCAGGGGGTGGGGTTCTGTTCCCTCTTGGGTTTGGTGGGCTGTGGGCCTACATTTCAGGTTTTGCTGCCATGGTGGTTGCCTCACTGAGCCTTCCCTGGGGTACTGTAGCTGTGGACAGACCAGTCGGGTGGGTCCCTGCACTGGAGTGGCCTCTGCACGACCTCTACTTAGAAGGGCTGATGTACCTGGAGTAGAGCCACGTTTCTCAGTGGGCTCTGGGGGGAGGAGGGTCATAAACCATGTCCCAGGGAAACTTCCTGGTCTGGTGCCCAATGGGGGAACCCAGCAGGGGGTAGACTTGGGAGGTTGAGCCCAGAAGCCCCTCTGACTCCCTAGATACCCTCCTGTAGGACACACAATCAGGGCCTCAGCTCCAGTCAGATTGCCAGAGCCGCCTCATCACTACAGGTCAGAGGTCTGTCTGCCCTTGCCTGATAGCCTGTAGAATGCAACACCTGCTAACTCCAGTCTGTGCAGGTTTTGACGTATCGTAACATGAAACAGCAGAGTGTTCCAGGCACCAGCCCCTTTCTAGACTAGCCTAGGAGAGAGGACAAAGTATTGGGAAGGTTTGCTTGTTTTGCAGGAATTACATATGGAAATTGCCAAGCAAGAACTAATTGTCCATGCTCGGGAAGCAGCATCCAGGGTGCTGAGAGACCTAAGTGGTAAGTCTGGCTTCCTGCCTTGTGGTCTGGGGACCACCTCAGGGTCGCCTCGCCACTGTGCTCCTGCCCTCCCCATGCAGACCGCCAGGTGTCTGAGCAGATGGCCCTCCATGCTCGGAAGCGGGAGCAGTTTCAGCGGCTGAAGGAACAGTTTGTGAAGTCCCAGGAGGTGGGTGAGCTGGCCCGTGGGTGGGTGGGTGGTTCTGGCCCCTGGACCCCCTGAGGAGTGAACAAGTGTGTGTGTGTGTGTGTTTGTATGTGTGTGTGTTATGTAGCGACTCCTGGCGGCCAGACTGGAGGAGATGGATGATGACCTGAGCACTGCCCCAGAGCTCCGTGACCGGGAGAAGAGACTGAAGGCCCTGGAGGAGGAGCTAGAGAACAAGGCCAGGTGAGGATCAGGGCTCAGAGTGTGGCTTTAATCTTCTGTTTTTGTTTTTTGTGTTGATACTGAGGCTTGGGCTCAGCGTCTTACATGCTGGTACTCAGCCATTTGAGCCATACCTTCAGATCTGGCTTTTTTTTTTCTGGTTAATTAGAGGTAAGAGTCACTTGGATTTGTCTGTCTGAGCTGGCTCTAAACCATGATCCTCGATCCTCAGCCTCCTGAATTACAAGTTTGAGCCATAGGCATCTGGCTAGGGTCTACTCGATGATGGTTTTTTACTATTCTTCTCTTTGTGGCCCAGAGCTCACTAGGGAAACACCTCTACCATGGAGCTTTATTCCCAGCCCATTATTTTATGTTTCAGTTTGAAAAATTGCAAGCATTTGTCAGGGTGGAAAGACCTTGCTGTCTTGGAATGTCTGATAGTTGGTTTATCTGGACTCGAGTCTAGACAAGGCCCACACAGTGAGTTTGGTGTCCTGAATCTGTCTTCTTGTTTACCTTAAACAGAAGCTGTCTATTGTAAGCCTATTATTGGCCCAAGAGGGAAAGATAGGCCATTTACCTACCATAGTTGTGTGTGTGAGTGTGTATGTGTGTGTGAGTACATGGGCTTGCACTTGCTAATACAGGGCATAACCTGAGTCTTGTTCCTTAGCTTTTTCCACTCAAGGCACTAGCCTTGAGAAAGCTCAACTTCCACAGTTCTACTTCCAGCTTTTGGTGGTTAATTGGAGATGAGAATCTCATGGACTTCCTGCTGTGGCTGACTTGGAACCACGATCTTCAGCTCTCAGCCTCCTGAGTACCTAGGATTTCAGGCCTGAGCCACTGCGCTTGGCTAGTAGAAGCTCTGAATGGGAGGTGGTGGTCACTTTTTGCTTGGCACTGTCAGACACTCAGGAGTCCCAGCCTTAGACATAAGGAGTGTGCCTTGTGCAGAGCACATGCTAGGAACATGTGGGGATACACAAGTAGATGAAGTGTTTATACAAGAAAATCATGCAGAATGTGTCCTTGGCCTGTGATGGTCAGCCAACCAGTAGCCCTGCAGGTGGGAGGTTCAGTCACTTGGTTGTCATTGGTTGGGCTCTCTGTACCTTTTTGCATTGGTCTTCAGATAGGAAGTACTTACTGTGCAGTTTAGAAAGCAGGTCCTGGGTGCTCAGGGCTGAGGCTTCAGCTCCCGCTCGTTCCTTAGCGTCACTCTTTGTGAGTCTCCTGATATTTCAACAGACATTTCCCAAGTCACATTAGGGCATTTACCAGCACCACCCAGTCTGTGGGCAGAAAGACCTGCTGGCCAGGGCTGAGGCTGGTGCTGGGAGGCACGGTGTGTGGAGGGGACGCCACGGGGCCACCCCTCTGTTCAGTGCTGAACACCCCCGTGTTCAGGGTGACTGGTTTTCATGTGACTCAAGGCAGGCGCTGGTTGACCATTATAGCAAGTTGTCTGCAGAGGCAGCTCATCGGGAACAAAAGGCGCTGTGGAGGATCCAGAGGCACCGCCTGGAAAGTGCACGACTTCGTTTCCTCCTAGAAGATCAGAAGCAAATCCAGGTATTGGTGCTGGCGTTGGGCATCTGCTCTTCCCTGGGTACCATGTGCCTGAGCGCCTTAGAATTACACGCAGACCTATGTGCCTGTGTTGCTCCACGGTTCTCACCGGTTTGCTGTGGGGCTGCAGCTGTTGCTCCCTCTGCTGTTGCACTGACACAGATGGGGAGGAGCTGGTGCATGCTGACATTTGCTGTGACGCAGGCTCACATTCAAGCCCCACTTGTGTGTGGGCTATAGCACCATGGCTTCTGGTGGTGGATGAGGGTGCTGTGTGGAGGCCAGGCCAGATGTCAGCTCTGCTTTTCACTCTGAAGCCTCTGTCTTCTGCTGGCTTGAATTTCAGGGGATGCTGAGAGACAGGTCGGAAGCTGGTCAGCCCCAGGAGACGCTGGGTATTCTCCCCATCTCACATGACCAGGTGAGAGGCTGCCGCACAGTGCAGGACAGTGCTAGGGCTCTCAGCGAGATGCCCTGATCTGGCTGTGTCCCTTTGGTACTTGTTGAATATTGGCAGCAGTTACAGAGCTGGGCTTGGGATAAGGGTAGATGACTGGAGGGAGGTTACGTCGGGTCCAACATGTGTTCCAGGTCACATCTCTAGGATCTGAGCTCCCAGATGGAGGCTGTGGCCATGAATCAGTTCCCACAGAGCAGCAGGCCAAGCAGGATTGCCTAAGCAGGCCGAGTGCACACACCCCACAGTCCCCTGAGTCTCGGGCAGTTGGGGATGAGGGCTCCAGCTCTGAACCATTTCCTGCTGCCCTCAACATCGTGGATTTCTTGCCTATGGCAACGGGGTCTAAGCAGGCCGTGCCAGATGCAGGAGCCCCCCTCCTGGAAGAGGCACTGCAGACCATCTGCGCAGACCTCACCCCTGTTGCCCCTGGGCAGGCACCTTCAGCTACTGGCATGCACACCACCCCAGTGGAGTATGATTTCAGTACTGTCCTGAGGCCAACTGTGGCCACTTTGCCTTCACCAAGGCTCTTTCAGACTATCCAGGGTAGCTTGGGCAGTACAGAGCATCCATCAGGACACACACAACTGAAATTGGATGTCTGTGCCTATAACACACAGAAGCCTCTACCTTACCTGCTCAGATGTGTCAGTCCTGAGGCAGATAGTCAGCCTATACAGCAGCTCCTTGAGCAAAGGGCAGAGGCTGCACCCACAGAGGACTGTGCTTCTGGAATGGCTCTGTCCCGGCCACGGTGGAGCGTCCACGGACATGCATCGGATGCCAGCATCAGAGTTGGGGAGAATGTGTCAGACGTGGCTCCTGCCCGTCCACGATGGAACGTCCACGGACATGCATCAGATGCCAGCATCAGAGTTGGGGAGAATGTGTCAGACGTGGCTCCTGCCCGGCCACGGTGGAGCGTCCACGGACATGCATCAGATGCCAGCATCAGGATTGGGGAGAACATGTCAGACGTGGCTCCTGCCCGTCCACGGTGGAACGTCCACGGACATGCATCGGATGCCAGCATCAGGATTGGGGAGAACGTGTCAGACGTGGCTCCTGTCCGGCCACGGTGGAGCATCCACGGACATGCATCAGATGCCAGCATCAAGATTGGGGAGAACGTGTCAGACGTGGCTCCTGCCCGGCCACGGTGGAACGTCCATGGACATGCATCAGATGCCAGCATCAAGATTGGGGAGAACGTGTCAGACGTGGCTCCTGCCCGGCCACGGTGGAACGTCCATGGACATGCATCGGATGCCAGCATCAGGGTTGGGGAGAATGTGTCAGACGTGGCTCCTCAGTTACTGCAGGACACCCATGGGTGCAACTCTCAGTGCCCCATGATTCCAGGGGTGCTTTCTCCAGAAGCTGAGCCCAAATCTCCCAGGTCCCCCCAGAATCCTGGCCTTACCCCGGAAACACACAGCTCTGCTCTGAACTGTGGGCCACAGCTGCCTGAAGACGTGGGGCCTGCCTTCTACCCCTCAAGCCCAAGTGTTGTGGAGGGCAGCTTGCAGACCAGGCCCCCTGCTGCAGCTGAGCCCCGGGTTCTGGGAGATCACATTCCTGAAGAGCCAGGTCAGAGGGAAGCTGGAGGTCAGGGCGGGCGTGTCCTCGGCCTGGGAGGCAATGCTGTGTGAAGCCGCTCTTGTGGCTCCTTGTCAGCTAGGACCAAGCTGCATTATGGGGTTTATGGAGGGGCTGCTTTGACTGTCCTTGTATCCCTCCAGTAGGGGGGACCTGATGCACCCTGCTGTCCATTTGTATCTGCTTAGGTCCAGGGGAGAATGGAGACAACGGAGGCAATGCAGACCTCTCTCCAGACCTGCCCAAGAACTCAGAGGTGAGGATGGACGGGGTACAGGGTTGGGAGTGCACAGAGGATCACTGAGGCTCCCATACAATGCGGGAGCCTGGGAACTGCATGCTGGGTAGGAAGCTGGTTCTTTTTTTTTTCGGTCGGTCATGGGGCCTGAACTCTGGGCCTGCGTGGTGTCCCTCAGCTCTTCAGCTGAAGGGTAGCACTCTTACCATTTGAGTGTCAGCCCTACTTCTGTTTTTTTCTGCTATGTGGTGCTGAGGAATTGAACCCAGGACCTCATGCATGCAAGGCAAGCGCTCTACCACTGAGCCACCTTCCCAGCCCCAAAGCTGGTTCTTTGAAGTTGGCCTTTTTTTCAGGAAGAGACAGTGAGCCCAGGCTGCAGTGAGGAGGCGGTGGACACAGATGTGGAGGCAGAGGCCAGGCGCCAGGAGGAGGAGCAGGCTTACCTGGCAGGGCTTGCCCGGCTGTATCATCTAGAGCAGTACCCAGACAACTACGAGTCTCTGTGTGAGTGGACTGGCTGCGGGGGCAGGCACAGGGAGCTGTAGGTCCCACGTCCCGAAGCTGCCAAGTTCATTCTGTATCCCACAGCAGAGCCGCCTCTCGCCCACCTGGTTCACCACGTGCTTCCCCAGGCCTTCGCCCTCCCTGTGGACCCCCAGATCCAGTCAGCTGTGGACGAGACCGTGGTCCAGCTGAGCGAGCTGCTGACGCTGCCTGTGCTCATGAAGCGCTCCCTCACGGCACCGCTGGCCGCCCAGTGAGTGGCACCTGCTGTGTCCCCCCCCCCCCCACCTGCCCAGCTAGTTACCTCCACCTACCACTCTGACCCCAGACCCCTCCTGATAGTGTCTCCCTGGTGAACAAAGCTGCAGTAGACTACTTCTTCGTGGAGCTTCACCTGGAGGCGCACTTCGAGGCGCTACGGCACTTCCTGCTGATGGAGGATGGAGAGTTTGCTCAGTCCCTTAGTGACCTGCTCTTTGAGAAGGTGACCCCGGGTTGGAGTTGAAGTGGGCCTGGCCCATGGTGACCAGTACCCCAGAATTGGGACAGCCTGGGCAGCATTAACCAAGCCACTCTGCGGGCTTTTGGGACAGTGCTTCTCTTTCCTGCTGCAGCTCGGGGCCGGGCAGACCCCGGGGGAGATCCTCAACCCGCTGGTCCTCAACTGCATCCTGAGCAAGGCGCTGCAGTACAGCCTCCACGGGGACACCCCTCATGCGGCCAACCTGTCCTTTGCCCTCAAGTACCTGCCCGAGGTGTTTGCCCCCAATGCCCCAGATGTGCTGAGCTGCCTGGAGCTCAGGTACAAGGTGAGTGGCGCCCTGTTGTGGGGGTGTGGGAGGCCTGTCCTGGGGGTCAGGCTCTTAAGTGCAGCTTCCTGAGCAGGTTGAGTGGCCCCTCAACATCGTCATCACCGAGAGCTGCCTGAGCAAGTACAGTGGCATCTTCTCCTTCCTGCTGCAGCTGAAGCTCATGATGTGGACGCTGAAGGACATCTGCTTCCACCTCAAGCGCACAGGTGAGTGCTGGCCGGGCCTGCCCACCCGGGTGTGGCATGGGCTGCTGCTCACCATTTGCCCTCCCCCAGCCTTGGTGAGCCAGGTGGCCAGCTCTGTGCAGTTCCGCCAGCTGCAGCTGTTCAAACACGAGATGCAGCACTTTGTGAAGGTCATCCAGGGCTACATCGCCAACCAGATCCTGCACGTGAGCTGGTGTGAGTTCAGAGCTCGGCTGGCTGCAGTGGGCGACCTTGAAGAGATCCAGCGTGCTCATGCCGAGTATCTACACAGAGCCGTCTTCAGGTGAGGTGTGGGGTGCTGAGCCTGGGCATGCCCTGAGGTCCTGCCAGGCAGCTCAGGCAGCTCACTTGCAGTCCTCCCTCCTAGGGGCCTGCTGACAGAGAAGGCCGCGCCGGTCATGAACATCATTCACAGTATCTTCAGCCTGGTGCTCAAGTTCCGGAGCCAGCTTATCTCTCAGGCCTGGAGCCCAACCAGTGGACCCCGAGGCGCAGAACACCCCAACTTTGCCCTCATGCAGCAGTCCTACAGTACCTTTAAGTACTATTCCCATTTTCTTTTCAAAGGTAAGGCCTCCCGGGGGGCAGAGCTGGAGGGGGTGGGCCGAGGGGGGGTGGGCAGGAGCTGACCAGCTGCTGTGCGCCCCCCAGTGGTTACCAAGCTGGTAAACCGAGGCTACCAGCCCCACCTAGAAGACTTTCTGCTGCGGATCAACTTCAACAACTACTACCAGGATTCCTGAGGCCGATCAGACTAAGGTGCCATCCTGCTGGGTTTCTCTTGGGCAGGCAGGGATGTTGGCAAGGAGGGGAGGGTAGAGTGAGCACACAGATAGGCCTGAGAAGCTGCTGCTTTATTTAGGAGCTTGGGAGTTGCACTCAGCAGGGCCTAGGCCTGGATAGACAGGCTGTCGGGTCTGTGCAGGGCCCGGCCCTCTACCTCATCCTTAAGTGTGAGGCTGAGCCCTGTCCTCACACAAAGCAGCTTGGGTCAGGGTGGTGCTGCTGAGCTGCTGTCAGACAGAGAAGGGTCAGGTCCTGACTGGAGATCTCTGCCGCCATAGAGAGCGCCAGGGGCAGCCTGGGCGGTCTCAGCAACTCAGCAGCACCTGAAGGCCTCGGGAGACTCAAGGCTGTGAAGGACTGCGTCACCCGAGGCCACTATGAGGATCATGTCACACACAGCTCCGCTGCCCAGAGCGGGGGCCTGCTGCTGTAGGAGCACTGCCCCCCAGACGCCCCCTCAGGGCTGGTAGCCTCCAGTCCGGCGGCGGCCTCCCCGTCTCTGTGGTAGGGAGTTTCCAGCAGCTTCAGCACGCGCCGCACCTGGAAGAGGGTCAGCTGAGGGTCAAGGCCCACTCCCTCCTGGAGCTAGGCCAGACGCAGGCCTGTCCTTACCTCCGAGAAGTCTCCATTTTCAGCAGCCTCAATGGCCTTTTGGGCGATGTAGTTCCTCAGGACGTATTTGGGGTTGTTCATGTGCATAACCTGCACACGCTCGGCTTGCCAGGCTGCAGTGTCACCAGCACACTCCTTGTCCTTGTCCAGCCGGGCTCTGGAATTACACGCCAGTGGGCTTTCAGCAGGCCTCGCAGGCTTCCTCGGTGCCAACTGTGGCCCCCGGTGGGTGTGGCACTGAGGAACAGCCCGGGGCCTCCCACACTCACCTGTACTCCTGCAGCCAGGCAGTCCAGTGCTCTTCGTTTCTGTTCTGCAGCTCAGCAGGGCTCAGCTGCTCTAGCCGAGACTGTTGCTCCATGCGTTCCAGCTCCTTTGTGACATTTGCCTGGGTGCCAATGAGTGCAAAGAGCTGTGGGTTCGATTGTGCCAGCATCAGCATCATGGAGAGTTGTCTGCATGGAAGGGCAGCGGGGAGAACGCCTCAGCCAAGAGCAGCAGAGGGATGGGGCCTGCCCGGCTGCGAGGCCTGGGTGGGCAGCCCCACAGATGCTGCAGTCTGGCTGGAGAGGACAGGACATTTGTGAGAGTCTCTAGCTACATGCCACTTCCGCCCTGCTTGTAGGGAGGTCATGTCCCTGCTCCCCACTAAATTCCTTCCCGTATGACCAGCCTGTGGCTCTTTTTTTTTTTTTTTTTTAAGCTTCAACAACTACCATGTTGTCTCATCCTGGGCAGGAGCATTTGACACCCTGTACTCATCCTGTGGGCAATGGGCCGGCAAGGCATGGTCTGTCTAGGCTGTCGGAGCCGTAGGCTCTTGCCAGGCAAATCAGACAGTCCTCCAGCCCCTGCATGTCAGGATCTCTGTCCTCTCCTGCCAAAAGACCCAACACTGCAGGCAGGATCTGAATGCACTGAGTGTGCATCAAAGACTCCTACAGTCTCTCCTGAGAGTGTTGTCAGTGTTCTCAGCAAACCAGTTTCCAGGAGGTACCCACCTGGGGTCCATCTGGGGCCGGTAGGCAAGCTTCAGCTCCTCCAGGGAGGCACACTGTGAGGTCAGCACGGCCAAGAAGTCTGACAGACCCGCCTCGGTCTCCACTGGGAATGTGCTCAGCACAGAGAAGGTGTTTGTGAAATCAGCACCTGGAATGTGAGCCACTAAGGTGCTGGGAAGCAGTACTAGGCCCTGGCTTCTTCCCAGTACAGGTCCCTCCTTCCCATTCCCATTCCTAGGCTGCCAGGACCTGTGAAATCTCAAGGATGATCCTAAATCCTAGAACCTAGGAGGGTTTCATGGCAAGATCCTGTCTGAGGGCTGGGAAGGTGGCTCAGTGGTAGAGCGCTTGCCTTGCATGCATGAGGCCCTGGGTTTGATTCCTCAGCACCACATAAGCAAAAAGAAAGCCAGAAGTGGCGCTGTGGCTCAAGTGGTAGAGTGCTAGCCTTGAGCTGAAGAGCTGAGGGACAGTGCCCAAGCCCAGACTTCAGGCCCCATGACTGGACCCCCCCGCCCCCCCCAAAAAAAAGATCCTGTCTGAACCGAAAGTGAGAAGGAACCCATTGGGTACAATACAAGTCCATGCCGCCTAGACGACCATTATTTAAACTCAAATAGGTGAAGAGATACAAAGAAATGTTCCAGGGCTGGGAAGGTGGCTCAGTGGTAGAGCACTTGCCTTGCATGCATGAGGCCCTGGGTTCGATTCCTTAGCACCATATAAGCAAAAAGAAAAAAAGCTGGAAGTGGCGCTGTGGCTCAAGTGGTAGAGCATTAGCCTTGAGCTGAAGAGCTGAGGGACAGCACCTAGGCCCAGATTTCAGGCCCCACGACTGGACCCAAGAAAAAACAACAACAAAGAAACGTTCCATGCAAAGATACCTAACAAGGATGCCCACTTTTGTTGCCCCTGTTGGAGTTGTAGCCAGGGCTCCCAGGTAAATTAAGCATGTGACCCAGAAATCCCAATTAAGAGGCCTAAAAGGAAAGCAGGGATACTACTGTTTGTGCTTATTTTCAAAGCTGCAATTCAGGTTGCCAAAAAGATGCAGACGCCAAAGTACAGCGTTTGACTATGGCTAACCAAATGTCCATCCGTAATAGCATTAACAGCATTATAAAGGAATGATATTCTGATGATGCTAAGTAACAAAGGGACAAGTTGTGAATTCCTAGTGTGAGGAGTCCCTAGAGTAGTCAAATTCAGAGACAGCACAGCAGTGGGTGCCGCGGCCAGGTGGGGTGGCTAGGGGATTCATGTATAAAGGAGATGAAGTTTGGGAGATAACAAGCAGTGATGGTCACACACAGCAAATACATCCAAGCGGGTGGCCGTGGCTCACCTGTAGCCCTAGCCACTCAGGAGGCTGAGATCTGAGCATCATGATTCAAAGCCAGCCTGGGCAAGAAAGTCTATCAGACTCTTATCTCCAATGAACCACCAGAAAACCGGAAGTGGCGCTGTGGCTCAAATGGTAGAAAACGTGCCTTGAGCTGAAGAACTCAGGGACAGCGCCCAGGCCCAGAGTTCAAGCCCCACAACTTAAAAAAAAAAAAAAAAAAGAGACCCAGATATGGCTAAATGGGTAAAGTGTGTCCAGTCACAAAGTGAGTCTGGTGCCGGCTCCATTGGCCTACCGGTCAGGCGCATGGTCTCCAGGAGCCGGGCCACTAGTGCTCGGTCTTCATCTTGCTCCATTCGCACGAGGCCCAGCTTCCTGCGCATCTTGTGCAGGTAGTGCTTCTGGAACTCAGCATCAAACTCCTCAGCAATGATGGCCTCACCCAGGGCCAGGGGCAGCTCAGGCTCCAGTGCTTCTGCCAACTTGTGCAGGTTCCACTTACACACCTCAGGCTGTTTGCAGTATGCATACCGCCCAGCATTGTCAGAGGCATTGCACACGTGGTCGGGGTCATACCTGCCACATAGAGAAGATCCCAGAGCTGCCCACGGGGGCCTAGAGACAGCAGACCTCTCCAAAGGCCAAAAGCTCTGTCGTGTCCCTCCAAGTGCCCACATGGAAGCCTACACAATTGGCTCTCCTTCCAGGTACAGGTCAGGCTGCCCTCCCCAGTAAGCCTTTTGGATGCTCCCAGATCTACATCTGATCCACTTTCAGTCCAGCAAAGAGGAGACCTGTTCTAAAGCTTTCTTTAGGCCCTCAAGGAGGTTTGTATCCAGGAATGGTTGAGCAGATCCTGACAACTAAAACACGTCCTAAGCACCTATGCCAGCTGTTCCCTGCTTCCTCGCCATTGACCTTTGTCCATCTCAGGCCAGTTCCTGGGGGCAGTGGGAGGCTGACCACCCACAGCCCAGGGCACTCACCTGTCCAGAAAGCCGAAGGGCCCGTAGTCAATGGTGAGCCCCACAATGCTCATGTTGTCAGTGTTGAGCACGCCGTGGCAGAAACCAACACACTGCCACTCGGCCACCATCTGGGCTGTTCGTCTTGTCACCTGGAGCAGTACAGAGGTCCTGTCCACCCCATCTGCACATACATATCCCATATCCCCCACCTGTCTTGCTTCTGATGCCAGCAGTGAGTGCCGTCCACATTCTTTGGTGTCAGTGGCCTCTCTCCACTCAGCATTGCAGAAGTAGGTTTGGGTGACTTGGTGCATGCGGATCCTGGCTCCACGTATGCTGCTTGTGTTCACCCAGAAAAAAATGGGCAACCCAGACTCTGGCCCAGGAGCTGTCGCAGACCGGAAGAGTGGCCTATCCTGCGGTGCACTGCTGTTGCCCCAGCCACGTGGCTAGCGGGCGACTTGGCCCAAGGTGCAGCAGCACCTCAGTACGTGATAAGAGATCATAACCCAGCCTGACCCTCTCCACTTCCCATCCTCATGGAAGGCCCCTGGGCCAAGCTGGCTCATATCCTGTGCTATGGGTTAATGAATGCCCTGTGACTAGGGTGCTGGCTGACCAGGGGTGCACCATGCACGGTGTGTGCTGGGGCAGGAGCCATGGCTGATGTGGGTGGAGGTGAATGTGACTCCACCCAGGACAGTCTCCATTTCCCCCAGTCAAGATACCAGGTAGGTGCTCTGAGGTGTGCTGGCCTGGGGCAGTAAATGTGGCGACGCACCCACCAGTGTTTCTGTCCACTCCAGTCCCCTCACGTGCTTCACTGGCCCCCTGGTGATGCTCTGCAATGCCTCTGCACCTCCAAGGCAAAGCACACAGGCAGATGCAGGCCCACGTGACTACTGGGCAGCAGGCGCAGGCGCTGGCCCCTGGCTGCGGAGGACCTGTGTCCGGCCTTGCACTCACCTCCCGGAGGAAGGCAGCGTTCCTCTGCACAGGGCTGCTCTCACAGGCATGGGCCGTGTGGATCTCAGGGAAGAAAGAGCTGATCACATAGTTGAGCATTTGGATCCGGATATCGTTTCGTCCCACACTGGGGCCTGCACGCCCCGTGTGCTCGTCAGTGGACTTAAAAATCTCAAAGGAGCCAAACCTGGAGGGAAGACCCCATGGTTTACCAAGTCATCCGGCTCTGCTCCCTCATAAGAAAAAAACCTGTGGCCACTAGACCTACTGGGCAAGAGCACCTTGCTTAAAGCAGACACGTGGTTCCCTAGCCAAGTGCCAGCCAGTAAGCTCACTCACAGCTCGTCACACACACACCACCAGTGTTGTGTGCACACCCTATGCCATGTCCCCGAGGCAGGGACGAGCAGGGTGGGCTCCATCACAGACACGGTGCTACAGAATCAGAGTGGTTCTCAACAGGACGACACGACATAGCTGGGCACTTGTGGTTGTCACAGCTGCTGCTGCACAGGCTAGGACACGGTGACAGCACCCACATACAGGAGGCCCCAGTGCAAATGTAACAGTGTGTGTACTGAGGCCTCCAGGGATGGCAGAACTCACTCTGCCCGCCCCTACCCCCCCCCCATCCCCTGCTGGTCAGGAATAGCTAGTTACCAACCGCAGACAGGAGAGCATCACCCCAGCCATCTCCTGCCAGCTCTGGGATCAGGATCAGGTAATCAACCTAAAAGTGTGGGATACCACTGGGCACCCATGGCTCATGCCTATAATCCTAGATACTCGGGGTGGGGGGGTGTTGTCATCTGAGGATCCAGGTTTGTTCAGCCTGAGGAGAGCCCTTGAGATTTTTATCTCCAATTAACCACCCAAAAACCAGAAGTGGAGCTGTGGTTCAAGCCTTGAGTGATAAGGGACAGCACCCAAGCTCTGAGTTCAAGCCTCAGCATCAATACCCTAAAAAAAAAAACAACTGGATGCTAGACCAAGGTGATGGCAAAGACAAGAGATACCCAGTAAGAGTCCAGCATGTGAGCATCTGGATGACCATGAAGGAAGACCACAATCAAAAGACTAGCACACATCAGCTACTGCAATCTATCTACCTATTTACCTTTTGTGCTGGTTCTAGGTCTTGAACTCAGGCCCTGGGCACACTACCTCTGAGCTTTTTTTGCTCAAGGCTAACACTACCACTTGAGCCACAGCTTCGCTTCCAGCTTTTTTTTTCTTTTGGGGTTGTGGGGCTTGAACTTGGAACACTGTCCCAAAGCTCCCAAACCTCAGATCTCTGCCTCCTCAGTAACTAAGATTATAGGTGTGAGCCATAGGGCAGGCAGCAACCCTGTACTTACAATGATGCTAAACAAGGCCTTTTCGTCAGTTTTGAGTAATTTCATAAACTCCCAGGAAACAGTGCTGCACCAGTACCTTCCCACTGCTCAAGAAGGAGCTGCCTGGGCCAGCCTTTATCTTCTGGCTGTGATGAGGGCTTGGATAGGGATAAGGGATAGGGGATAGGGGAGGGACCAGACACAGCTATCCACCTGACAGGACCCCAGCCCAGAGCAGTACAGAGCTCTCTCAGTACCACCAGCCCCTCCCAGCAAGCACAGAGCATCTGCTTCATGGGTTTGACTTCTGAGAGACCAGGGCTGTGTCCTGGTCACAGCCAGGCACTCACTCCTGTGCTCTACTGAAATGCTGACTGTGGGGTCAGGCCCAGGCCCTGGTGTTACCTTATAAAGGTGGGGGCTATGCGCAACACAACCGCGCACTTTTCATATCTCGGATTACCATCATAGAACACATCGCGCACCACCGTGGACTCAGACGTGACACAGGCCCCGGCCCGCGTGGTGGGGATCCCCAGGTGGAACATGGCTTCGCTGCACAGGAACTCTCGGATGCTCGACCTCAGGACCTTACGGCCATCAGCCTGTCTGAAATCAAACAGAGGCCTCTGAGGGGCTGGGCAGCGGTGCACTTGAGGAAAGAGTTCCTCAACATCTGTCAGAGGAGGCCATCCTTGTGTCCCATCCAGATGAGTGCGGGCATTGACGCAATCCTGGTCCTGCACAGGTGTGGCGGCCATGCGCACAGCCAGGCCTCCAGCTTCTCTCGGACCGGCAGTCACGTTCAGGAATTTATGGGCTGACTCGTAATAATGCATGTACACACATCAGCACTATGAAAGGGATGCACCGCTCAGCTCTCAGAGGTAAAGGGCTGCACGGACTTGGCTCCAACGGAAGGGTAGAGACACTGAGGCACAAACAGGGCAGAACATGAAAGGACATCTGGAGCTCTGAAGGCCTCATCCAGACCCCAAACCAGCCAACAAGGGGCTGTGCTGTGTGCCGGGCCTGGCCTCTATGCCTGGACATGGCAAGTTAGAAGGTTCTTTCACAGGAATAAAAACCTGACGCTAGGGCTGAGGGGGGCCTAGGTGTGCTTACAGCCTCAGGTGTGAACGTGGGGTGCTGGACCCAACCCAGACCACCAGGTTCCGTGGACCCTGACAGTGCTGAACTTGGACCTCCCCATCACCTGAACCTCACTGAAAGCAAGCCGGGTATGAGCAACACCTGTGGAGCCCTGGGAGGGTCAGGCGGGGGTTGGAGCTCCCTGAAGAGACTGTCCCCCGTTGGCATCACGCTAGCTTTTCTCCGAGGCTGGCAGGGCCTGAAGCACAGAGGTGACACGTGCCCAACAGCCCTCCCCCGGCCGTGGATGCTGCCTGACCACACTGAACACATGTAAGCAGAATTCAGCACAGCACGTACGAACCTGGAGCCTGGAACCAAGCTGTGTGCGCGTCCCACTGCTCTGTGGGGTCAGCACTCTGAGGGCTTGCGTGTCCCACAGTTCTAGCCTCTATTTCTGACCCTTGTTCTAGGCAGAAGCCAGGATACGTCCCACTGGGCTTGGGGCCCATCTGGGGACCCTGAGTCTGCTAAGGGGCCCTGTCTTGAAGCCCAACAACCACAGTAGGCAGGGGCAGCAAACCACCTGATCACCTTCAAAACTACAGCTACAGGCTCCAGCAGCACTGGCCCAACAACTACCTCAGCCTCTAGCTTCAAGGCTTGGAATGCTGTTAGAGAACTGTAGTTACAAGGGTCTTGGGAGGCACCTGTCAAAGGATCATTGTCCTTTTAAAGGAAAAGCATTTTAGCAGAACTCAGCTCTGCAAACACTGGAAGCCTCAAACCTTCAAACATAAAAAGCACCTTCCAGCCAGGCACCAGTGTCTCACACTTGTAATCCCAGCTACTCAGGAGGCTGAGATCTGAGGATCACAGTTCAAAGCCAGCCTGGGCAGGAAAGCCCATGAGACCCTCATCTCCAACAAACCACCAGAGAACCGGAAGTGGCGCTGTGGCTCAAGTGGTAGAGCACTGGCTTTGAGCTGAAGAGCTGAGGGATGCTGCCCAGGCCCAGAGTTCAAGCCACATGACCGACCAGAAAAGCACCTTCCATGGCTGGTGACACAACTCAGTAGAAGAGTGCGAGCACATATACATCACAACATTTGGTTCCTAGCACCAAACATAACAACAAAGCATAGTCTAACAGCAAGTCACTCTGACAGGCTTTGTCTTTTTAACAACAGAATACAAACAAAGGGAGCAGGCTGAGGCAGCTGTCCCCTTCCCCAGGGCTGCTGGAGGGCAGCTGGGGTTCTAGGTGGGGCTCGGTGAACTTGGCAGAGAGGACTGAAAGGCTGAAGACTTATCAGTGACCCTGGGGATCTTGCCTGTGAGGAGACAAGGTGGAACCTGGTGAGGGCGGTGGTTAAAGGCAGGAGGAATACGGGGCCAAAGGCATGGACTCAAAACATCCAATCACAGAATGCCAATTTACATGTATTTATTTCAGGCATTCATCAGCACAGGTAAGTTAAAAAAACAACAGGAGCAGGGTGCTGGTGGCTCCCACCTGTAATTCCTAGCTACTCCAGAGGCCGAGACCTAGAGATTGGGGTTCGAAGCCAGCCAGGGCGGAAAAGTTCATGAGTCTCCATTTCAAATAAACCAGGAGGAGGTGGTGCTCAACTGGTAGAGCGCTCGCCTTGAGCTGAAGAGCACAGGGACAGGGCCCAGGCCCAGAGTTCAAGCCCTACTACCGACCAAAAAAGAAAAAAAAACCCAGGGGACTGAAGGTGTGGCTCAAATGGTAGAGCACTGGCTCTAAGAAAGTCAAGAGTGAGGGGCTGGGAAGGTGGCTCAGTGGTAGAGCTCTTGCCTTGCATGCATGAGGCCCTGAGTTTGATTCCTCAGCACCACATAAGCAAAAAGAAAAAAAAGCCAGAAGTGGCGCTGTGGCTCAAGTGGTAGAGCGCTAGCCTTGAGCTGAAGAGCTGAGGGTCAGCGCCCAGGCCCAGAGTTCAGGCCCCACGACCGGACCAAAAAAAAAAAAAAAAGTCAAGAGTCAGGCCCTGATTTCAGACTCCAGTATAGGCACAAACCAACCCCCAAGTGAAAACCTATAGGGATGTAAGTGCTGTCCATACTCAGAAGACAAAACAGTAGTGGGATCTGACCACAGCCTGCCTGGCCTCAGGCTGCGTGGTGAGATGTCAGGGCCTGGAGTGACCGTCTGGGGCAGGCTGGGCCTGACAGTCACGGATAACCCACGTGGGACCGCATCAGTCCACCCCCCACCTCCGAGCCCTGCCCTCTGCCCCTCGGCTGATTTGTGGACCGGGCTCCAAAGTCCTTGACTTGTTGATGAGAACGGCAGGGACTGCCTGGCCGCTGGACGCTGCGGGGCAGACTGATCCCTCCGCGGGGTCGCCGCGGGGAGTCCCGCCGCGGGCTCCCTGCCTTCCCTGGCCGCCCTGCATCAGGGCGGCTCCCTCCGCGGGGCGCTCGCCTCCCACGTCCTACCCTCTCCGACACACTCTCCCGGGCTCGCAGTCGGCCCCAAACCGTGACACAAGCGAGCACTGCCGCGCACGCTCGCGCCCCACGCCCGGGTACCGCCTCCCCGAGCCCCGCACCTGGAGAAGGGCGTGGGGCCGGCGCCCTTGAGCTGCAGCTCCCAGCGCCCGCCGGCCGCCGTGCACACCTCGCCCAGGTACATGGCGGCCCCGTCGCCCAGCTGCCCGGCGAACTGGCCGAACTGGTGCCCGCAGTAGCAGTGCGCGGCCGGCTCGGCGCCCGGCAGCAGCGCGTTGCCGCTGAAGAAGAGTGCGGCCTCGGCCTCGGCCTCGCGGGCGGCGGCGTCCAGGCCCAGCAGCGCCAGGGCCGGCCCCGACAGCGCCACGACGCGCGGCCGCTGCAGCGGGACGGGCCGCGCGCGGGCGAAGCAGGCCCCGGGCACCGGGCGCGGGGCCGACGGCGCGCCCTCGGGCCCCGGGGGTGGCGCCTCCACCGGCAGCTCGCGCAGGGCGCGGTTGTCGAAGCGCAGACCCGCCAGCCAGCGAGGCACGGGCTCCATGGCGGCGGCCCAGGCGGAGCGGGGCGCGGGCGGCGGGAGCGGGCGACCGAAGGGCACGGGACGAGCACTGGCCGCCGCGAGCAAAGGGCCAACTGCAGACCTGACGGAGGCCATTCGCCCCGCCGCCGCCGCCGGAAGCCCCGCTGCCCCGACCGGAGGCCCCGCCTTCCGCGCATCCCGGCCCAATTGCGGCCGTGCGCGCCCCGGTCGCCGGAGGCGTGGCTGATTGGTTGCTGCCCCAGAGGCGTGTCTCTGATTGGTTGCAGCCCCAGAGGCGTGCCTCCGATTGGTTGCTGAGACGTCCACTTCCGGAGCCGCGACCGCCGCGGGCCGGGAGATGCTGGACGCTGCGCTGCCCGCCGGACGCCTGCGCCGGGGCCTGCAGGTTCCCAAGCTCTGGCCAGCTGGCACGGGCCGGGCGGGACTGCTTCGAGGGGGCTGACGTGCCGAATGACGACCCCAGGGCACCGCCGCCGAGGTGGCCCCAGCTAGGAGAGAAGCCCAGGTCAGCCCCGGCCCCACGCGGTGCTGCGGGTCTGAGCCGGCTCCCTCGGGCGTTGTTCAGACGAACGGCGTGGGGCGTTGGGGCCCCGCCTGACGAGTTCCTGGGACGTCTGGGTTCCTGGCGGGAGCCGGCCACCGAGGTCTCTGCACCGGGACGATCCGAGTCAGCCGGAGCCCCGGGCGAGGCCGGCAGCCCCGCCGCCCCAGCGGCACCGCGGTTCTCTCTGAAAGGACCTCCTTTACTTCCCTGTTCCGCGTGGCCCTGCCACGGCTGGCCACCGGTTCCTCCGGCAGTGCTCAGGGCTCTGGCCGCGAGCAGCGCCTGCCGGCCCCGAGGCCACCGAAGGACGAGTTTGGTAGGATGGAGGAGCCCTCCCTCTGGCTTCCCACTTCCCCTGCTCCCGAGTGAGACCCGAGACCTGGCGTTGGCCTAGGGACCCCGGAGGGACGCACCAACTCCCTCCTGTCGCTGTCACTCTGTTCCAGCCACCCCCCAGGCTCTGCACCCGGCATCCGTGTCTGGAGCACTTTCCTGGGGCCGCAGTGGACTGCTAAGACCTGCACTAACCCAGCGCTGTCACTTGGGCCTGCGGAACCGTGGTGAATGCTGTCTGCCTTCGGTGCAAGGTGTTGGGAAGTGTGGGAACAGGGACAACATGGAAGGGTAGATGACTGGCCAGGTGGGAGCTCTCTACTGCACCCAGTAGCAGAGCTGCCCAGCCTGCTACGGAGCCGCCGCCCCTGGTTCTGGCATCCTCCTTCATAACTGCCCAGCCAGAGCCTGGCATCACTCCACCCGCTTCCTAGGCCTTGACCTTTTCTGACCCCTGGCCCTGGCCTCAGTCTGACTTCCTGTCTCATCAACATCCTGGAGTCCTGGTAGGACTGGGTTATTGAGAGTCCACAAATCTCAGGCTGAATCATCTACTGGCTGACCTCACCACACTTATAGCCTGAGGGCAACACACAAGTGCTCAAGGTTCAGGGGACCGGGTGCCATGGCTTACGCCTGTAACCATAGCTACACAAGAGGCTGAGATCTGAGGACTGCGTTTCAAAGCCAGTCAGGGCAGGAAAGTCTGTGAGACTCTTATCACCAATTAACCACGAAAAAGCCAGAGATGGAGCTGTGGCTCCAGTAATAGAGCACTAGCCTTGAGCAAAAAAGCTCAAGGACAGTGACCAGGCCCTGAGTTTAAGCCTAAGACTGGCACACATGCACCCCCCCCCCCAATGTTCAGGGCAATGGAGAATGCAGCAGCTACCTTGAGCCCATTGACTTTGCCTCACCACACCATTGAGGAACAAAGTACGCGGCCCTCCTGAATACAGCAGGGCTGCGCTGGCCTTAGCAGAAGCTGACTGTGGAGTGATTCCTCTCTTGTGGTAATGGGGTCTGGTAGTCACTGGGCTTGTTTAACGTGTGAGGCTGCAACAGCCCAGGCCCAGGGCAGCAACTAGGTTTTGGGATCCAGGTTGTGGGAAGGCACAGCATGCTCGCCTGCGATGACTCCATGCCCTGTGTGGACTTGTGGCTGAGACTGCTCAGGGACTGGCTTGTGGTACAGCAGTGGAGGCAAGGCCTTGGTGGACAGACGCAAGGCCTTCCTCCAGCCCGTGCTGGGCAGTGGGCGGTGATGAGCAGGGCCTGCATTCAAGGGATTCTTTGAGGAACCTATGCACCCAGCCTGAATTCTGGTCCAGGATGCTGAAGGCACAGCCCTCCTGGCTGTGGGCATGGCCTGAGCGCTGGAATTTATCTCCTACGTGAGGAGGTTCAGCAACCCACTTGTTGTCCCCCTGGGGCTCTCCCAAATAGGAGCTGTTCAGGAGCAGCTGTCCTTCCCAGAGTGTAGGCTGGGCCTTTGCCCGCCCCCTCTGCCCCCCCCTCTGCCCGCCCCCTCTGCCCTACTCTCAGCTTGCACTGGATTGTCACTGGATAGTATTGGCCAGGTGAGCCTCCAGCCACTCACCTGGATTCCTGGCATACTGGCTTATGGTGAGTGTGTAGAACTGGTCTTCTTGCTAGCATGGATGCCAGCATAGTAGGCCTAAGGCACGAGGCTGTCCATAAGCAGCTCAGTCTGCAGGTCAGGTTGGGAGGTCAAGTTTGAGATGTCCAGCTCCAGAGAGTGGAAACCCAGGCTAATAGCGCCTTTGTGGCCCCAGAGCTCTCCCTGTTCGTGCTCATTCTCATCAAGAGAATACATTTCCCTGCTTCTGGTCTCTGCCCTGTGTTCGTGTGGGGATCAGAGTTGGAGTTCAGAACAAGAACCGGACCCCGTGTCCCCTGGGCAGCTCAGCCCTCCTACCTTCCAAGTCTTGAAAGCCCTTCTGTACTCCTACCAGTGCCGCTCCCTGCATCCTCCCCTCTTCATCCCAGCCCAGCCCCACCCTTCAGCGCAGACACACGGCAGGGCAGAGGACAGTCAGGAGTACTGGCACACTCAAGTGCCTCTGACATCGTGTTCCCAAGTGCTTTGTATTGGCTTTCTATCAGCGTAACAGAAACAGGTATTGCAATAGAAGTACAGTTTTTGGAAAGGGAAATGCACAGAAGCATGGGGTGCTGCGGGGGCAGGGCCTCTACCCACACTTCCTGCGAGACAGCACTGGGCCCTTGGAGGGGGCGTTGGCAGGAGCCCCATTGGCAGAGCAGAACTTGGTCTTCCCTGTCTCTGGCCAACCAGCTGCTCCCGGGTCATGGTGTCAGGCTTTGGGGCAGTGCATAGATGGGCTGCTCATCTGGAACAGCATGCTTGCCCCTCTGGCTGGCTGGTGGACGACCACAGTGGGCCATAGGCTTATCCACCCAGATGTGAGAGCAGCCCTTTCCTGCAGGAGCCAGGCAAGGCTGCAATAGATCCAGCTGAGCTGACCGCTCACGACCCTCACGCCTCCCTGCTTCAGGACATCTGCCATTTTTTTTTTTTTTTGCCAGTCCTGGGGCTTGAACTCAGAGTCTGGGTGCTGTCCCTGAGCTGCTTTGTTCAAGGCTAGCGTTCTACCACAAGAGCCACCGTGCCCTTTCGGGCTTTTTCTGTGTACATGGTACTGAGGCGTGGGTCCTAGGTGAGTGCTCCCCACCAAGCCGCATTCCCAGTCTGCCTCTTTCTGAAGCAGCAGTGGCCCCCAGCTGTGTGTGCCCTGCCCTGGTCTACCAGTGACAGCCCTAGATAGACAGGCCTAGACCAATCTGCTTCCAGGGTGCCCTGACCCACACCCAGAATTCCTGGGTACCAGTTCAGGTGGGTTTTAGGGGAGTGGGAAGTCTTGCTGGGTGCTATCTATGGTTGACAAGTTGGAGGATGCCCTACCTGGCCACACCTGGGGCCCCAGCAGCACCCCCCGGCCTGCTAGCCACCAAGTTAGGAGCAGCTGCCCAGCCCTGGAGCTCAGACCTCTGGACTCTCCAGGTCCTGTTGCCAATCATTCCCACTGGCTGTCAGGGCTGCACCATTGAGTGAACTGAGCCAATTTCCCAGGAAAGAAACCAGCAAGGACCAGGGCAGAGCAAACAGCTGTGCTTTCTGGGGGTGGGAGGAAAGACGTGAGAAAGGGCCCCCCCCATGCCCAATGACAGAACCCTGCACACCCAGCCTCCCCACCCATCTCCAGGTCCCCTTGTGTGTGTGTGTGGTGGGGGGGGTCGGGGCTGAGGGCATCCTGGGCCTGGAGAAACCCCCACACACTTCACAAACAGGAGCGTCCAAAATTATATTTTATTTCCATATCTAGGGCACGACAGCATGTGAGGCAGAGGCACACAGCACAGCCAGCCCGTTCACAAGGCTCTCTAACTGAGTGACAGCCATACAAGCCAGCCCAGTAACCTTGGCCCTGGAGGGCTGTGCGGGTGCTGCCTCAGTGCCCAGCCATGGCTCCAGCGTACGGGGGCGTCTGTCTACTAGCACCACTACAAGGACCAGGGTGGCCTGGATGTCCCCACGCCTGGGTGTGTGGACAGCGGGCTCCAACTCCTCCTGTCACCAAGGAAGGCAGCCGGGCCAGCAGCCTACCCTGTGCTGGGCTGCTGGGCAGTCGACAGGGCGAGCTTGGTACCACAGCGGGCTGTAGCCTTGCCCAGCTGGACACACACAAAAGACAACTGGATTGAAGGCTCATATTTCCTGACACTGGTTCCAGCTTTCCTTTTCACTGAAGTTAAAAGTACCTGAGTAGAAACGTGCAGACATTTAAAAAAGCGAAAACACAGGATCTCCGCGGGCAGGCAGAGATGCGGTTGGCACGCCCCACGGGCCAGCCCAGTCAGGAGCAGCGTGGGCACCCAGATCCCACACTTACTGGCCCACAAGCCCATGGCTAAGCCCCACTCAAGGCCAGCAGCGCTTGCTGGTGGAGCACAAAGCATGGTGAGGTAGGTACAGCAGAAACCTGCCCGGCCACGGCAGGAGCTGGAGTGGCGGCTCTCACCTCAGCGCCTCCCCCAGCCCTGTCCCCTTAGGGCCAGGCCACTGGGTGCATGGACCCAGTGATGCCCACGGATGGCCCCTGAAGTGTGTGTGTGTGGGTTTCTGGGAAGCCTGAACACAGATGGTTAAATAATCCTTTATTCAGGCTGGGGATGAAGAGGACAGGCAAGGCCTGGCCTGGACCCCCATGGGGGGTGGCTTGGCTATGTCTGCCCGGGAGTCCCCGGGCGGGGGCGCTGGCTCCGCAGGAGCCGCGGCTGAGGTGAGGGAGCAGCCACAGGTCCCTCGGTGTGTCACTCGTGCACGGCCCTCCTACTGGCCTGGCCGGGGCCCCGAGGCTCTCTGGAGGCAGAACTGTGCAGCGGGCAGTGACAGGAGCAGACTCACGGTTCGGCGGCCCATCCAGTACAGGCCGTAGCCCAGCAGTCCGAAGAAGGCGGCCTTCATGGCCAGCCGGGACACTCTGCCCGAGAGGGATGGCGGCGGGACACTGCAGGAGGAGGAGGCCTGGGTGGGGCTGTGGCACAGCCCCGCAGCCCCCGTGTGCGGGTCAACGCCACGAGCAGGTGGGGGCGGGAGGGGGTACCCACGTCATGATCTCCTGGATGCTGAGGTCAGCACTCCAGTTCTTCTCGATGCCGGGCACGTGGCCCATGCCCACGACACCAACGACCACAGAAGGGACGCACTTCCTGGGCTCAGCTGTGGGGAGGAGGGAGTGAGCTGTGGCTGACACGGGAACCACGGATCCCAGGGGGCCCCCACCAGGCCTGCCTGTCACCGTCAGAGGCGCCGGGCAGCTCGAGGCGCCGGGCAGCCTGCCGAAGCATGTAGGTCAGGTAGATGTCCCGCTCTGAGACGATGGTGCGGTGCAGGTCAGGGAATTCGCCAATCATCTCAGCCATCATCTGCTCTAGCAGGTCTTTCTGCTTGCAGCGTTCCACATCATCCTTGCTGGGGACAGAAGGCATGCTGCTAGCTGTGGAGAGGGCGCACCGCCAGCCCGCGGGGACGGGCAGAAGGTGCACTGCTAACTTGTGAGCTCTGAGAAGCTGGCAAAGCTGACAAGGGCAGGGACACAGCACTGCGTGTCTGGGGCTCAGGGGCAGGGGGGCAGGGAAGGTCCTTGTGTGAGCAGGTGAGGAGGGAGCAGCTGTGGAAGGTGCCATGTGTGGGCCAGGGGCTTACTCTACCTGATTGGGTCTGACAGGAAGCAGAGGCCCCAAGCCAGCTTGACTTTCTGCCAGAAGGAGAGGGCAGCAATGGCTCTCTTGAAGGTGACGGGGATGGGCCGGTCGCCCAGGTGGAACTTGCAGAACGGCACCTTGCTGGCCTGGAGCAGGGGCTGGTGTTAGGCCTTGTGGGGCCTGGGTGCTCTAGCCGGGCCACTGCATCCACACAGCCCCCAGCCTGTGCCCAGTGCCCACCTCCTTGAAGGCTTCTCTGAACTCGCCACCGGGGGCCATGCCCAGCTGCTCAGTGATGTGGGCGGACACCTTTAGCAGCAGCATCTGCATGAGCCCTGACATGAGCCCGTTCTGCAGGGAGAGAAGCCACATGAGCCCTGGGCAAGGCAGGGAGGCAGAATGGCACCAGGACACGGGGCAGCCAGCTAGCCAGGCCCCAGCTGTCCTCATGACCCTTCCACACACAAGGACAGGCCACCCTGGCACAGAGTTCAAACCAGAACAGAGCATCTCAGCCTCAGTCACATCTCAAAGAGATTTTCTGGAAGAGGGAGGAGTCTGTTCTTTATAGGAAAGTTGGAGTTGTTGAAAAGAGCACCTCAAGCAAACAAGCCAGACCCCGGCGTCTCACAGAGCCTAAGTGTCTGTCATGCCCAGCAGCCATACTCAGTGATCACAGCACAGGTGCCTGGGTCCCACAGAGCTGCTGGACGAGGTGCAGGCTGGTGCCCACCCTCACAGGCTCAGAGGCTGAAGTGTAGGCCCTAGCCCCAGGGAAGGACCTCTTTAGCTGCCACGTAGACTCCATAGCCTATGCACATGTCCCGAGAGGTGCGGCCTTTGGCCCAGCAGGTGCCCCGAGCCTGGAGATAGTCTACTGCACCAGAGTCCTTGCTTACCTAGGTTCAGGTCATACTAGACAGTCCAACCTGACTCTAGGACTTAAACAGGACCAAATGCCAGTGGCTCACACCTGTAACCCTAGCTACTCAGGAGGCTGAGATTTGAAGATCACAGTTCAAAGCTAGCCTTGGGAACTGTAAGTGCTGTGGCTCAAAGTGGTAGAGTGCTAGCCTTGAGTGAAAAAGCTCAGGGACAGTGCCCAAGCCCTGAGTTCAAGCCCCAAGACTGACGTCCCCCCTCCCCTCCTGCCCCCCAAAAGGACTTAAAACAGGGACCCTGGGCCAGGTGGTGCAGATCTGGCTGATACCAGGGACTGCAGTGAGGTCAACCATGCCCGCATGGCCGCACCCTGTTAGAAGCTGTGGACACTGGAGCGCAGCGGGCCTGGGGTGTGGGCTACGCCTGGCGTGAGGCCAAGTGAGGTAGTGTGGAAGATGAAGTGCCATCTGAAACTCCCTTGGTGGAGGCAAGGGTGGCTGGTGCCAGCCTCTTCCTGCTGACAGTGTGAGCATGTAGCCTGACTGGGTCTGACTCCTTGTGGACCCAGACCCTCTGCTCTAGGAATGGGACTGGTGCTGATGGCCCCTGGCTAGACTACAGGATGGCCTGTTCAAGTCTGTGATAATCTCCCTTGCCTGGGAGATTTCAAGTCAAAAGTGAGTCGGCCCAGGGAGCCCTGGTCCCAGTTGTTGGTCTGTAGTGGGAGTGAGAAATGGCTAGCGTCCTCTGAGAAGGCTGAAGAGGCTATAGGAACACGCTGCGAGGAGTCACCTCCCATGACAGCAGCTGCTGCTGCTCTTCTGTCCACAGTGGACCCATTGTGTCTGTGGTTACAAGGAGCAGGAAGTACAGCCCCACACCTCATGCAAACCTGAGCTCCATGTGCGCACCTGCCTCACAGCCTGCTGCAGCTTTTCCAGGCTGACCTCCTTGGCTTCACGCAACAGCGTCCTCTCGTCCATCTTCAGCATGGACACCCGGTACTGGCAGAGCTCCACAACCACCACGTCAGGCTGCACCTCCCGGATGGTCTGTGGGCGCAGGTTACACCCAGGATGGACAGTCTGCCAGCCTCCACACTGCACCGGCAGCCCCACCCCCAGGTAGCCGTGGCCATGTTGGAACAATCCCAGTACTAACCACTAGTGCTACGCTGATGATTCAACTCTTAAAGCAACTAGAGGAAGCTGTAAGCCTAGTTGTTAAAATGAAAAGGCACAGGGTTTCCCGCTGGAGGCAGGAATTAGCCACTCTTCATTCCCAGAGGAGCCTGGAGCTGGGATTGACCATTGTGTGGTCCAGGCACAGGTGGCTTGTCATGCCTGTGTCCCCATGTGCAGCACAGCAGGCCTGGGTGCAGGCCGGGGAAAGAGTGGAGACCCAAGGACCTGGGGCCTACCTTCACAACATCCCGCTTGCTGTCATCACTGAAGTGGGCCGTGCCCACCACATACACCCTGCTCCCATCCTCAGCCACAAGCTGGGTCACAGTCCGTGGCAGATTGGGCCGTTCGCGTCGCCGCTTGAGCTTCATCTCCAAGAGCAGGTTGAAGGCATCTGTATCAGCTGTAGAGAGTAAAAGCCATGATGAGCTCAGACGTCATTCCAGGGAGCAGGCCCCGTGGGTCCTCAGGATCACAGGAGGATGGAATGGGAATGGAGCCTTGTGGGGCGTGTGCGGCTGGCCCAGAGGAGCTCAGGCCTGCACTCTGCCCCATTTCACACAGGCTATCCCAGGGGAACACCTGGCAGAGCTGTACGACCGGGTGTCCCCGTAATGGCTCAGTTCCAAGTAAGCCTGGGTTTAGGGAGGGTCTTAGGGGACAAGCTTCACATAGGTTCAGCGGGTACAGTGAGATGGTCCTGCTACTAATGTACGCTCAGAACCCTCTGCCTGCACAGACCAGTGCTACTCACAGCATGTCCCACCCCACCCCACCCCATGGGTCCAGCAGACCCGAAGGAAGACATACACAGGTTCTGGGGGTCTCCAGAAAGTACCCTGGACTCTGCCTCTGAAGTCCCTGAAGTCATGATGGATTCTGTGTTGGCCTGCAGGAGAGAGAGAGTAGATGTCTTTGCAGCCCCCTACCCCCACTTAACCAGCTCAAGCTACTCTCAGGTCTTCCCCCGGAGAATTTCCTGACCACATCCTGCTCTCCTCAGAGAAGCAGGAGGAGGGGCCTCGGGCAGCACAACAGGGCTGGTAGCATCCCAGCCCCGCCCTGCCCCCCAGCTGTGTGGTGGCATTGCTGGGAAGCCCCAGGCCTGAAGGTGCTCCCAGCCTACCCTCACCTCCTGAGGTGGCCGCTCTTCCCCTTCCATGGCTGGCTGGAAGTTTCCCGAAGGACCGAGGATGCCTGAGGAGACAGTACAGAGTGCTCACCTGGGGCCCAAGGCTGGGCTCAGGTCCCACTGGGAAGCGATGGGGCCAAGCCAGTCCTAAAGCACAGGACCTTGGCCTTGGTCCCAGCACCACTGACGGACTCCTGGAGCATGCTGCCAAGGCACAGGGTCTTTTCTGGCTGGGGAGACTAGTAACCTCCAGGAATGAGGACAGACACATAGGCAAAGTCCCTGGCACACAGAGCATGCCCTAACTCATCCCCATACTGCAAGAAATCAGGAGCAGGGACACTGCATTCTGAAGCCCCTTCGGTAATGATGGCAACACACAGATGTCAGTAAAACAGAAGGTGGGACAGGGGAAAGCACACAGCTTAGTGTCCTTAGGAGCCAAGACATATCCCAACTGGAAAGAAGCAAGGCCTTTGACAAGGAAGAGACTAGTCAGAAATCTGATAAGGAAGCGGATGCGGGGAGCTCATGCCTATGATCCCAGCCACTCAAAAGGCTTAGCTGTGAGGGTCACAGTTCAAAGCCAACCCAGGCAGGAAAGTCCATGAGACTCGTCATCTCCAATTAAGCTCCAAAAAGCTGGAAGTGGGGGTTGGGAATATGGCTTAGTGGTAGTGTTTGCCTAGCATGCATGAAGCCCCAGGTTTGATTCCTCAGTATCACATAACAGAAAGAACTGGAAGTGGAGCCATGGCTCAAGTGGTAGAGTGCTAATCTTGAGCAAAAAGTAGCTCAAGGACAGTATCCAGGCCGAGGTCAAGCTCTAGGACTGGTGTGTGCAAACACACACATGCATGTACACACACACACATGCATGTGCACACACACACACACACACACACACAAAGCCAGGTGCCAATGGCTCACGCTATTAATACCTGGCTTTTCAGGAGGCATGGATCAGAGGATCTAGTGGAGCCAGCATAGGCAGAAAAGTCCTCAAGATTCTGTTGCCAAATAACCAGGAAAATACTGGGCTAGAGGCAAGATCCAAGGTTCAAGGCCTATTACTGATAAATAAAATAAATATCGGGCACCGGTGACTCACGCTGCAGTCTGATACCTGAGAATCTGGGTTCAAAGCCAGTCAGGGAAGGAAAGTCTGTGAGACTAAACTACCAAAAAGCCAGAAGTCACTGTGGCTCAAGTGGCAGAGTGCTACCTTGAGCAAAAACAGACCAGGAAGAGCGCCCAGGCCCTGAGTTCAAGTCTCAGGACTGACCAAAAAAACACAAACAAAAGCCTGATAGAGCTAGGGTGGTGCCACAGAAGACCGGCCCACAGCACTGTGGTTTCTATCCCCCAGGAGCCAGGAGTCCTGTATGCCAGTGCACAGAGAGAAGGGACAAGCTACCGGAGTGGGTAGAGGGAGTGTCTGTCCATCAGAGGGCCGTGTGACTGGAGAGGGTAGTAGCATGGTTAGACTTCAGTGAGGTCACAGGACCTCTGGCTCCTACTAGAAAGTCACTCTGCTACTTGGCAGTGCTCTTAAAATATTCAGGCCAGAATCTGCAAGCCTCACACAGAGCCAGAGAAGCTGAGTCTGACAACCGGGCAGGGACACTCAGCAGACACAGGAAGAGGGTACGAGGGGAGAAAATGCAGGCTTGGTCACCAACAGGAGTGGAGTTGGGGCCTTGACTTGAGAAAGTTCCTATATATGACAAATCTATACATGGAGAAATTTGACCACTGATGTCATGGTAAACAAAGAAGTAGAATATTCCACTTTGCCTTTAGCTGTGAAGCTGGGTGGTTCTGTTCTGAAGTGTGGGCATGCATCACAGCTGTGCTCTCCTACGAGGGACCTGCACAGAGCTGCTTCAGGATGTGCCTGCACAAAGGGCTTCACCACACAGAACCTGGGTCTCTCTTGGCTTACTCTGCCTACCAATGACACAGAGCTTCCATGAAGGGAAACCAAGCAGTAAATGGCCTTGGGGCTCTCTCAAGCCCTCTTCCCCTTGGCATCTGGTAGACGCAGGTCCTGGCCCTCAGACGTGTCTCAGATGTGACGATCAGTCTGCTGCTCAGAGCTCACTTCCTCATCTGCAGTAGAACTCAGCACAGTGCCCAAGTGAGACTTGGGCATCTCTAGTCATAACCAGACACCTGGGAGCTGAGCAAGCCGAGGGGAGGCCAGGTGAGCGTGGCTGGGCCTCTGGAAGAGGGACTGGTCAGGGGCAGCAGGGTTCCCAAGGTGGGGCGGCCTAATTATTTAAGACCTCAAGCCAGCCTCAAAAGCAGTCTTCCCAGCCACACAGCCTCAGGCTGTGGCAAGGGTGTGGGGGAAACCGATCCCACAAGCTCCCCTCTACCTGGCGCCTGAGTCTGGAAACTGTCCTATCCTGAGGGTTCTCAGGGCAGCCATCTGGGAAGGACCACCGCTGGCTCCAGGGCTCCCCAAACCCATGGGCACTGGCTCATTTGAGGATCACCCCAGGGGCCTCCTAATTCTTAGATTAAGTTTCTCAAAGGAAACCCAAGCAGGCAGGTGTTCAGAAGGCTTTGGGAAGCTTGACTTCTAAGACAGGGCATGCTGGCCTCCCCCTTCATAAGACCCCGGCTCTGGCCAGGGGGTCATCTTCTCAGGCCTGGGTAGCAGCTCCACAGGGAAAGGGAGAGGGTCATCCTCAGTCCAGCTTAGCACAGGGAAGCAAACAATTCTTATTTACAAGCAGCACAAGGCTGCCAAAGCACAAGAGGAAAACTAAAAAAAAAAAACACACACACACACACACACAAAAAAAACCTGTGCAGGCGGGGGTGGGTGCAGCACAGACAGCCAATGGGAAGGGACCACGTTGCAACCTCAGCTTGCCCTGCCCTCCCATCTGAGCAGCTGAAGGTCTGCGGTTAGCCCGCCAGACCCACCCTCTGGAGCTTGCCCAGGGCCTGCCCAAGCCTGAGAGGAAAGAGGCAGTCCGGAAGGCTAAAGCGGCTGTGGAGAGGCCCAGACCAGTGGTGGTGGCCAGTGAGAGGTGCTCCTGAGCCTCGTGATGGCTGGGCCACGCACCTGCAGCACTAAGACCTTCACAGTGCGTAACCTGGGCCTGTGATCAATCACCAAGAACCAAGACTTTGGGTGGGGGGAGTCAGGCAGGAGAGCTACTGAGGGCCCAGGCTGACTAACTCTGAGAGCTGATGCATTACATCCACACACTTCCTGGTGCTCTGGTTTGCTTCCTCTTGGATGTAATCTCAAGCAGGTTACTAATAGTCCCATTCACCTGCTCCAATGGTGGCAGGAGCTACACCGGACCTCCATCTCTGGAGCATCTAACTACTTTGTGCTTCCTGAGTATCCTCCACAAATTCAAGTGCTCAGGGAGATCAGGCTGCCGCCTCCCAGAGTGGACCAATGTCTCCTCTCCTTCCAAAATCCCAGCCCAGACCTCAGTCGGATCAGCCCCCAACCAGCTCTCCCTGTGGAGTAGCCTGGGCAATGTTTCCAAACAGGCTTGCTGGCAAGCATGCGGCCCATTCCCACGTGCTGAGCCGCGGTTCGCAGCAGGGCTCCCGGCATCCGAACTTCTGAAAGAACAGGTCTCAGACCTCAGATTCTCAGCAGCAGTGGCACGTGAGAGAAGATGGAGAAGGACCCATTCGTGGCAGGGTCCCCAAGGAGGCAGAGGCATGCAGCGGCTAGGGGGTGGATGGGGCTGTTTACATTTGAAATGTGCTGTCCACCCCAGGGCTCTGGGCCCTGCAGTGCGTGACCAGAGCGAGTCAGACCAAACCTGTAACCCACCCAGGCCGTGGCTTTCCCTCTAGTGGGTCTAGTTCCATACACGGAATTGTGTCCTGCCCAAATTCACACAGCACTGAGGGGCGCAGACCTGAGAGGCTCAGGCTGGGTGTCTGCTAGGACACCCAGAGAGGCCACTGAGGACGTGGCCAGACGGGGCCCTCACCAGCAGCCATCAGCTGGCGAGCTTCCAGCCTCCAGAACTGCGCGGAAACGCAAACGTCCGTGGTTAAGTCCCCGCCTGGGCGCTGCGCCCTCGTCCATCGGAAGCCGTCTCCCCCCAACCTGGCTCCCAGCGCGGACTGGCACCAGGGGAAGTCTCTAGAAGGGGTCACTGCCTGCTGAGCAGGTCAGGGGTCGCGGAGCGGACAGGCCCGGGCGCTGCTGCCCCGGAGCTCTCCGTCCGGCCGGAGATGCTCGGAGCCGGCTGGCGGAGCGGGGCGCGGAGGCCTCCCCGCCGCC